GGATCCACTACACCAAAAATGATCATTTGCAACACTTCAAAGGTAACATTTGTTGATAAATGTTGCTAAAAGGGTTTGGCAACATTTTAGTAAGTGAATGTTGCAATTAGTTAATGTAATTGAGTTTTGGCAACATTTTGCAAATGAATGTTGCTAATGTCACTTTTTGGTTGCGAAAAGTTTACCTTTTTCCACCGTTTAATAAAGTTGCAAAAAGTTTCAATAGGCCATCGTTTCGCAACGTTTATAAAATGTTGCGAAAAGTCTCTTTCCGCAACTTTTCGCAACATTTAATGAACGTTGCAAAAAGGTAAACTTATCGCAACGTTTTTTAAATGTTGCAAATTACTTTTGTAGACTAACTTTCCGCAACACTTTTTTAGTTTTGTTAATGTATACTTTTAGCAACGTTTTTTAAACATTGCAAATCTGTTGGATTTGCAACGTTAAATAAATGTTGCCAAAAAGAAAGAAATTAAGATATATGTATGGGCCTTAAATGGAAGAAATTGAAACCCTAAATTCACTCGTCGTCCCCCTTCTGTGATTCTCTCGCCTGTCGATCGACGATCTGACACCGGAGCTGGCATCGACTTTCAAAATCTCGCCGGAGCCTACTCGAACCATGCTCGATGTCAATTGTTCCCTCTGCGGCGGCGATTCCCACCCTTCTTCCACCTTCAAGCCGTTTTTAAACGATCATAATTATCAAAATGCGCCCTCCGTGCAGGACCACGTCATGGAGGAACCAGAGATGGAAGACGCGTACCCAACCCAAGAAGGATCCGACCCGAAATGATGGATCCGGAGTTAATGAGAATGGCTCAGGAGCAGATGAGTCGCATGTCACCCGCTGATCTGGCTAGGATTCAACAACAGGTACTCATATTTTTTTCTGGGATTGAAATATTTTATTTTTATTTTCATTCGGATTTTTTTTTTTGTGAATTTTGAAATTTGTGAAAAATCGTTTGCGATTTCAGCTAGGGTGTGAATTTTTTGGTTTCAGATTTTGGCTCCATAAACAGCTAATTGATTGGTGGGATTTCTTGCAATTGGTTGGCCCGCAAATGGTGAAAGTTTTGGACATTTTAGGATCTCTTGTCAGCGTGTTATGTGTTTAAGAATAGTAGATGATCTATAATACCACTTCATTTTTCACCATCTGATTCAATTCTGTTTTGATTGCCTTCAGTTTATTTGATTTTTCTACATGTTATGTTACTAGTTATGTTCATTGAATTCGTGTGATTGCTCCAGTTTGCTTGATAATGTCTTTGGTTTCCCTGTTTCTGGTGCAGGTAATGTTTGTTAA